GTGCTAAATTTATGTTTTGTTTTGTTTTCTTTTCTTTTTCCTGTTAACCTCATGTTAGTCTCAGGTCTTTATTTTCTGCTTCCAAAATAATCCAATAAAGTAAAGCTATCTCTTTCATTGCATATAACATTCTAGTAAGATATTAATATTAAGTAGTTGCTGTAAGTGGCCATTGAGATGAGGGTAATTCTTCTTGACTTTATTCATAAGTTAATGCAGAGAAGAAAGAAAAAGGATGGTAATTATTCAAATTATGAAAGAGATTTTAATGGGGACAAATTTATATTACAAATTAGATTGAATTTATCCTTCATTTGTTGCGTATAAATTTGGCCTTCTTGGGTGTCTTTTAGACTTTTTCAGATGGGACAGCTTTCCAAGAGATGTATGGAATTAGTATATTCTATCTAATTTCCAATGTGAGCAAACATACACCTTTCTCTTCCCTTAACCGCTCTTGCTTCCCACCATGTCATGAGCTCTCTCTCCTCCTGCCATGCTGCCCTGTCTCGAAGCCAGCTCACTGCAGGCTGAAACCGCTATCAGCTGTGAACCAAAATAAACCTCTCCTCCTTTAGTTCTTGGGTATTGGTTATTCTGTTCTAGCAACAAGAAAGTAAGACAGGGGTGGACAAAGGAGAGAAACTGTCATCATTTGATAAATTGCCCATAGTCTTTACTTTTGAGCCTTTTATAATTTAGACCTTTCAGATACTTTGATTAATCTCACAACTATTTTTGTGACTTCCTTTATCCTCATCCATGTTCTTCTGACTTTGCTTGGTCATATAGCCTGAAATTGATTACAGAAAGCTAGTAAGAATCAGACTAGGGAACTTTAATATGGGATAATGTGATACTTTAAGACATCCTTTCTAAATGTGTAAAGGAAGAAGTGTTCTTGAACTCATTTTATGCAAGTTTTTTTGTACATACAAATTTGGGACAAAAGAGGTTCACATTTTTATTCTCAAAGTGGAAAGATCTTTTCAAAAGTTTAAAAATGTCTGCTTTTAACCATTAGTTTCAGAAAACCTTGTAGCCTTGGATTATTTATCACAATTTGTGTAAGGATGCAGTTGTCCTCTGAGTTTGTAGCACGTGACATGCTATGTACTGTGAAATCAGAGGAGTTTTCTGGGGTTTCCAAGGAGATAATTCATGGAGATAGCAACTGAGAGCAGACAAAGTTTCTGTGTATTTCTCCAGAAAGACATCAAGATCTTAAAGAGAAGAGAGTACAAAGTGATGTCTTAAAACTTGAGGTAAGAATTGATGGATACTATAGAAGAAGCCACTGTTTCGGGGACCTGGCTGATTCTAAATAGGTTTTTGGATTTTATGTTAAAAGACAACAGATAGTGGTACAAAATAGGTAGGGGTACAAGATAGGCATTGCTCTTGATTTTCTGAAGTTTTGCTTTTCCTTTTTTGAATTTCTGTCTGTTGGTTTTAGTTACTTCTGAGTAGTTGTTACAACTTTTTTACATAGATATTTGCATGTATAATATATGCTCTCTGTCACTTTGTAACCTCTAGATGGCACCCTATGTTTTTAAAATTAGGATATTCTTCAGGGCCCATCATAGTGCCTTGATTATAAAAGGTGCCCAGAAGTTTTTGTTATATATTTGTACTACGGATACTGTTGTGGATTTTCACCAACCACAACCAACTTTATGGCAATCACAGGGTGAAATTTCTGTCAGAATTTAGTATGCTTAATAGTTTCACATTACTAGTAACTACTCTATAGTTTTATTGTGTGAACTCCATAAATCATGTAAGTCCCTTTCTCCTCTGTATTATTTGTTGGAAAACCCAGAACAATGTGATTGTTTTCATTGATGTGCATGTGTTCCAGGCTCTGTTACAAGTTCTTTACTTGTGTGTTCTGTTTTTTCCTTATATCAGTTGAGTAGTGCTTATTATCTCTGTTTTGCAAATAAATAAACTGTGATACAGAGAAGTTTAAGGAACTAGTCTATGGTTACATAACTAAAATGTGTTAGAATATTTACTTTTAATCATTACATGCTGCTGCCTCTCATCATTGTAATTGTGTTAATTCATACAGGTATTACTATATAAGTGTATATAAGGTGCATATATAAACCAACATGGTTTGTGTAGTTTGATAGTGAGACAGAGAGGCAGGCAGATAGTTTGATAAAAGCGAAGTTCTTAAATCAGATATCAAAGTGTTCTATCTGTATTTGATCTTTTATTTTTAGAGCTCTCAAGTAATTTTAGGTCCTGGCTATCCAAAGTGTGGTCTGGGAATAAGTCTGGTGCTAATCCGTAAAAGTGTTTGTGTTTTGTTCAATATGAATGAGATACATATAGAAACTGAAAATAAGCATTTAGAAATTTGATAGTAATTTGAGAGATTAATTTTGTATTTGTTGAACCTAATGCTAAAAATTTGCTTTTGTTTTTTGATATCCTCCAAAATTTTTCTTCTAGTTAAGGACTTTTGGTAGCTTATAAAAGTTTCTATCCTAACGGATTTTGAAATTTTTAAAGCAGTGATAATTAACACAGTTTAAGAATCACTATTCTAGACAAAAACTTTGCCAATTTTTAAACTATGATTTGTTTGAAAAGAAAAACCATAATCTGTAGCTTGTAATTATACTTTAATCCAAACCTGTTTCCAGATGTATTAAGAATCAGTATATTTGGGTGCTTGGTCAGCCTCTTTGTTCTGTGAGAGGGTGTAGTAAATTGAATTATTTTGAAATGAAAAAGGGGAACATGTTTTCATTATATTTTCTTGCACTTAGTATTTTTCATAAGAATGACACATTTTAATTAAGTCCTTGACCCATGATAATAGTGTGAAGAACTTGCCCATTATTCATAGTTACAGCCTCTTCAGTTTATCAAAATATCTAATAAAAAATTCACATTCTTAAAACTGTGTTCAAATTGTTTCCTAGAGCAACAAAATTAAAAAAGATAATAGCAAAATATTGCTTATGATGCCAGCTTGATAATCATAGGGTTTTCCAGTTATAGAAAGCACAGCTATTTATATGAGATAATATTTGCGAATCCCAATTCAGTTTTTATTTTTTTTCCTTTTGGGTAAGTTGGAGAATCTTGTATAATATTGTAAAATAGGCTCATCGAAAGTTATTAATCCTAATATGGTCTTTGAATATCCATACAATTGATATCTCCCTTTTAGAAATCTCTTACTAGTGAAATTAGTGTTTGATTGAGAATCTCTAGTTTTGAGTGTTTAAAAGCATGTTTCCAAATAGAGATGTGGGTTAGATTATGAGCAAGTATTTCACAGAGAAAGAAACTCAAATGACACAAAATGTGCAGTCTCACTGCCTTGGTTACTTTTTCTCATTGAGACATAATATCAACAACCCAAAGTAAACAGTAAACAGGAAGATAAGTTCATTTGGCACATAGTTTGTAGAAGTTTCAGTTCATAGTTGGCTGACTCCAAGGTGGGGTGGCATGGCAGAAGGGCATCACAAAGGAGAAAAAGTTCATGACAGGTAGAAGGCAGGGAAACAGTGAAGTAGCAATGAAGCAGCAGTAGGCCTATGTTTTTTCTATCCTTTTGTATCTACCCAGGGTACCTGCCTTTTGGGTAGTGCACCCCACTCCAGGGTGAATCTTTATATTATCCACACTCAGAACTATGCCAAAACAGTCAGTGGACTAATTTAGTAATTGCACACCGTTATTCCCAGTATTACACATTAACTCTAGCATCGTACACCTTAGATCCAGCCACCTCTGAAAATTCCCACCTATGACCACATGAGGGAACATCTAGCTACAAGCCATAATGCTCAAAAATGCAAGCTATCTTTTTGACAGTAATAAAAAAATATTGCTTTTAGAGGTATAGGTGCTTTTATGTGCCTCTAGAAGCTCTTTAAATTGGTTCTGACTCTCTTTAGGGTAATTTGGCAGAACTCATCAGACAAAAAATTCCATCTTTTTACCCAGAAATTCTAGGAGAAATTATACTAAGAAAATAACTGAAGATATATTGGAGGATTTATAAGTGATTGGTGATCTAAATTATGTTTTCGTTCATAATTGAACGTGAATCATAATTGTGATGCCTCTCTGCCATGCCACTCTGCCTTGGAGCCAGCCAACTATGAACTGCAACTTCTACAAACTACGAACCAAATAAACTTTTTTTCCTGTTTACTGTTTACCTTGGGTGTTGGATATTATGTCTCAACAATGGGAAAAAATAAGGCAGTGAGACTACACATTTTGTGTCATTTGAATTTCTTTCTCTGTGAAATACTTCCTCATAACCTAGCCCACATCTCTATTTGGAAACATGCTTTTAAACACTCAAAACTAGAATGGTGGAATGATATATGCCATCAAAAATGAAATTGTGGAAATACACCTCTATATATTATTAAAAGAAAGAAATAGCATTTTTGTAAAATGTATTTGTCTAATTAAGTACATGCATGGAAAAATATGTGTAGGATATTTTTGTGTGTAAACAGTATTGAGTATTTATGTCAATTTTGTACATTTGGATTTAAAATTTTTTTTTTCTTGCAGTGAGTATATATTGCTTTTAAAACTGCTTTGTTGGAAATTTGGAAGCTCTTTTAAAATTCACAGAATGGTATAGCGGGAAAGGAAACCTGGTAATCAACAGGATGTCCCACATCCCCTCAGTCTTTTCTTGAGGTTCTTGACGAGCCTGTTTTTCTTTCAGAGCTGTCTCTTGAAAGTTGTGTTTGAGAGATTTTTATTTAATTTAATTAATTTATTTATTTTCCCCATGACAAATGTCTATCATTTTCTAAACGAGAAAGCCAGTGTCCCAGTTAGGTGCATAGAGTTATTTTCACTCACTGACAGTCCTGTTGTGTTAATACTGAATAAGCAGAGACAGTCTGACTGATGGTGAAAGATGGTAAGCCAGCCTCAGGGCTTTTTCTGGTCAGTCCTAAACCTCTGATTGCCACGTTTTCCTAATTTCCCATTTCCAGGGCATCACTAGAGTGACCTTGCTTGCTGAATATGATGCTCTGAATCTCCAAGATTTTCACATGTATTTGGAAATGGGCAGCCAGGCGATTGTTTACAGGACTCCAAATGAACTGTGCACTCACAGCAAGTTTGATAAACACACATTTCCTCCTTTTATCAGAGAGATTGTAGAATGTGAAGTATGGGTTTCCAGTTTTACTTATTCCCCTCAACCTTTTTCCTGTTTAAAAACTTAGACATACTAATTGGATGCTGATCTGTCCCTGTTTTTCATTTTGCTTACTGATAGGTGACGGCTTATCCCAAGACTTACCTTAGCAAGATTTGGCAAACCTTCAAAAATAAACTTTTATGTATTCAACTTAAAAGAGATTCATCCCAAGAAATGTAATGTGAGCACTAATTAACAGTAATGACTGCTAATCACTTTGCTTTTTATACTCTTTTAGGAGCACTGCGATTATCCAATGTAGTTAAGTAAAATGCTTGTATAAGAATCAGCAATGCTGCATCCTTTTAGCAGCTATTGCTCACAATTAAGCTTTGCATAAATTAGAGTTAACTAAAATTGACTTTAATATGTTATGCTTCTGTGATAGTAAACTGAAATATCCAGTTAAAATCTTGAATATTAAAAAGACATTACCTAAGGGTTTTTTTTTAATGTAGTCATTCTTGTGGTAGATGAAAAACAGTATTTCATATAAATTTTCTCACAGTTCATGACACTTTCCCTTAGATTTCTTTGAAACTGCTTGTGCCTCTTTATAGTCACAGCAACACTTTGATTCTGTTGTAAGCATTTATTTTATCAGATCAATGAGAATAGATAAGCTTATTTAATTTTTCTGATTTTGTATATTGATTTCTAGGACATTTTACAGATTTTTTTTGTATTATTTAATCCACTTATATACACTTGGTTCATAGTTTGTGCATTCAGCTTTCATTAAAAAGGGTTGTTTTATTACATTTAGTGTACTATTAGAGTATTATAAAAGCTGTTTATTTAGATATTCAACATACCTACAAACTGCCTTGCCTCAGCAGGTGACTAGGTAAAACTCACATATTAATAATTTAAGGGATCAATGTTCAAGTAGCATTTTGGTTAATAAGTTAAAACCTAGAGTTAGTACTAGTGACTTTAACAGTGCTTTACTTTTGACTTTTATTGGCTGAAAGTAACTTGTTAAATTGGAGCCTTTATAATAAAGTGAAATCTACATACCATCTAAAGCCCTTTTCCCGTTTTGATTTATGAGGAGGTTGACATTTTATTGAAGAATTTTTAACACTTTCGCAGTTGTGTACTTGGATTTCAGAGAGAGTGCTAATCTTTCTGAAAGTTTGAGAATGACACAATGGGTTGTATACTGTTTTTCTAGGTAACTTGAGATTTTATATAAGTAACCTCAGTTTTATGATGGTGCCTCTATTAGTGTTGATCTGTTTACCATGTGATGTTTTGGTATGATTTGACGTTGTGTTATTGGGGTGTCTAACTTTTGCATTAAACATATTATGTCCAGTTTGTTGGGCCATAATTTTGCAATTCTTATAGCTAATGTATGTTTTTCTAAAGAGGTTCAGCAATTCAAGACATTATTTTTAAATTACTCAAAAGAAATAATTTTTACCTTTGGCATTTGTATTATTTATAGTCTAAAAATTAAAGTTTCTTGTGAATAAACAAGGGGAAAAATTAAGTGGCAATATAAAAATTTTTATATTGTATATACTATATGTTGTGTACATTATAAATGTAAGTATTAATAAAAATGTTTGGCACTGTAGTTAATTGTATTTAGTTTTAAAAAATATAGTAGGAATGATGTAAGAGAACAAAATATGGAAGTTTAATTGAATGTTGTCCATAGGAATTTATGAGTTGTTATTGTTGCACATAACTTATTTATTTTACATTGTAGTGTTGTAGTTTACAAAAAGTCAAAATGCATGTCTATGAGGAAACTTTCTACTTTTTCTATTTATGTTTAAGAAGGTGAGGATTTCATCCTTCAGTTTTGACTTTTTTTCCCAGTGTGTTTACTTCCATGTGAGAGTGATTGATCTGTAGCTGTCATTTTACCCAAAGAGGGGACAAATGGAATTGTCCTTTTAGATAAAAGTATGCAAACAGACTGCATTCTTTTTCTTGATAGAATTATGGAAGACTTGCATAAGGTGCCACATTTATTTTCCTATCGATTATGAAGAGGATTCTGCAGTGGGGTGCTGTTTCCAATGGATAAGGTGGTGCTATGATTAGTTACCTTTCTCATGAAAGCACTACAAAGGAAAATGCAAAATGTGTGCAGTGCAGTGTTCTCAATTTGACAGTTGTTTTGTTAAGGTTTTTTTTTTTTTTTTCCTATTGAAGTCTGGCCTATTTTAGAAAAATGTAACATTTTTGGTTTTTTTCTTTGTATTAGCCTTAGTAGATTTCCATGCATTTGACCCTTTAAAGAAATTACATTATAGACAATTTTCTTTTTTTAGGCTTCTATTGTAAAGCTTCAAAGCTGATGCAACAGTGCCCTCTATAGTATTTTAGTGAACAGTAAATAGATGTATTTGCTGTGGAATATTCAGGTAAGAAGCAGGATATTTAAATTTAAGTTTTGCTCAGACAAGAGACCCTTTTTTCCTAGGTAGACAATCTTGTTTTTCTCTAAGGGCTTTACTTTAAACAAAGGGAACAAAAGACCATTCTGAGTTTTCATTTAGAATTATTGGGTACTTCTTGTTACCCAGTAGTAAATCTCAGGTTTTATCAGACATTCATCAGAGTAATTTGAGATTGAAGAAATCTTACAAGCGGTACTGTCCCTTCATGAAATATCTTTTTGAAGTTGAAGTCGAATAAGAGTACCTAGAATTTTTTTTTAGTTCCTTTGTATTTTTTTTTTTTTCTATTTAATTAGAATGTGAGTTGGCTGCCTAGAATTTAACTTTTACTTGTTCCTGAATTGGATAACCCAGGCTTTATACATGACATTATTTAAATGCAATCCATGAAGTTACACAGTGACTGAAGTATTTGTCATTCATTAGCGTTGATTTAAATTTTAAATTTCCCCTCCCCTCTTCTTTGGTTACCTATTTGTGTGTATCCATAGTCAAGTTTTACATTATAAAATACAACTAGATGTGAAGTTACTGATTGATAATAAAAGCAGGCATCATGTCTGTTAGAAGAGGAAAATTGCATGGATCCAGTTTAATTTGCTTCTGAAAATATTTTAGTGAAAAGTATGGACTTTGAGTCCTAGTTTCTCCATGTATTCACTATGTAATGTTAAACACATACTCAATCCTCTGAGCCTGCTGTCACATCTGTAAAATGGGAGTAAAAATAGCTTATCCTGTGAGGTTTTCAGCTTTCAGGTTATTAAAGATCATGTTTATCAGTTAACTAGGTTATCATAAATGCTTAACTGATAACTTTATTTCAAGTATCACAGTACAAGGGCAAATGACTTTGTTTTATAGGAGAAAATTATAATATAATATGTAGAATACATGTACTGTCGTGTAGATTTTTTAAAAATTCTATCTGGCAACTTCTAGTGATTTATTTGAATGTGAAAGTTGGCACAGCATTCCTCAGTAATGTGAAATGATAAAATTAGATGTGCATTTGCTTTCAGCTTCCTACAGACCTCATTCCCAAATGTTTTAAACAGGCCATCTTTTTAAGCTTTATTTTAGTAGACATTTACTCAAACCAATATTAGGAAATATATGTATATATATATTATATAAACTGATAATAAATAAAATTTAAGTGGAAAAAAAAAACCAGAAGTTTTAAATTTTTCTCTTAGACTATCAGCCAAAGCTTAGGATACTTCTTTCATTTACCTGTGTTCTAAGTGGCTTTATCTTCACCACCATCTGCAAAAACTACTAATATATAAAATAGATGAAAATGGATCTTAATCTGGTTTAAGTAGGCCTAGAGTCCCTTTGGTTTGAGGAAACAAAGTTTAAAAGCTACTGGTATTGTACTTTAGGTATGTTTTGTTGATAGCTAGCACTCTCTGTGCTTTGGAGTTTTAGTACCTAATTCTGTACCTTGCACATAAAAGATGCTCAGTAAAGGTGTACTGAATACAGAAGTTTTGAACATCTTTATTAATAGATAGGATATAAAATACTACAGGTGTAAAAAAAATGTACCTTTGAATGCAGCCTTGTAGTATATAGGTGTTTTTAGTAACTTTGAGTCGAATATTATGATCAATGACACATTCCTTTTAGTATATTACTGGAGTTACAATGAGCAACCACAAAAGTATCTTCTTTATCATTTTGAGGAAGGAATCAGTGTTTCAAGCTTCTGGGATAAAAATGAAGAAGAACTCTAAAAAAAAAATACAGTTCAATGACCAGTTACAATAAGAAACATGTTTAAAATTAAACTATAGCTTACAAGACTGAAAAGATGTTGCCTATGAAAAAAGGAATAAGGTATTTTTTCTTTGTAATGAGAGTACCAAATTAAGAATCTGCTTAATTAAATAGTGATAAATGTGGCTTACATTACTGAAGACAGTGAAATACAGCTGCTGTGTCTAGTGAAAGCCTGCATAATTTACCAAGACTGTACAAAGAAGCAATGGAGCAGCCGCTGCAGACTGTTATAGGAAACGTCCTGTTTATTCTAGATGCATTTCTTTTTTTAATTAAAATGTCAATGATAATTTCATAGCTGTCCTCCAAAAAAATGCTTCAGAAATTTTTTAAGATGGTAGAATATGAGATAAAATCATTACTGCTGCTGAATAAAGCAGATAAAACCTGAGAAAAAAATGACATGTTATTCTTTTTTATTAGTTCATTTTTCTTTATTATGAGTTGATACTGAATTATGTGACTTTCTTCACCGGTCTTGCTTGAGAGAAATGTGACAAAATCTTTGAATATACATTTTATTTAAAAATCTTTGGGCCGGGCATGGTGATGTGTGCCTATAATCCAAGCTCTTGTGAGGCTGAGACAGGGGAATTGCTAGTTCAAGGCCAGGCTGGACTGCTTAGTAAATACCTGCCCCCCACCACCCCGCCACCAAAAAAAAAAAAAAAAAAACCACAAAAAAACCAAAAATCCCTTGTTTGGGAACCACAGCAAGATTTGGATAGAAGCAGAGATAGTATTGCGTAGAAATAAAGGTGTAGGTGTGAGTACTGTGAAACTGTCAAGGTGGCACGGACCCTTCCTATTGGTAGGTGTATCAGGGTTAGTGGGACTGTATTGTCTTCTCAGCTTCTCACTGGCTTGTGATCAGGGATATTGTTGCACATGACTGAATGAAACCAAGAAAGAGATCAGAGATCAAAAAGTAGTTGAGAACCCCTCTCACACTTCTTTAAAATATTTTTTTATTTTAAAGAGTAGTACGTGAGAAACAAACAAAAAAATAGAACAGTAGCAGCATACCAGTATCACGAACATAAACAAATCAAAGCAGAACATTCAAAGTGATATAGGGTCTCAAGACAAATTAATACAAATCAAAGTGGTTGTTACATTACATATCACTATCCTCAACTTCATCGCTCAGATTATCAGATGTACGAATGAAAGATTGCTCAAACCATTAAAAAGAATAAGAAAATAATTCTTCAGTAAAACCTTAGAGATAATACAGAGTTTCACTGGACAAGATGGTAGGAGTTCACCATTGTAATTTCATTGCATGTTGTTGCCTTCATATCAGTTGCTCAGACCACCAGACACAAGCATGCAAAGTCGATCAGAACATAAAAAATTGTATCAACTGTTGATTTCAATACACTATCAGACAACAGCAATACAGTCATCGCAGCTATTCATATATATATTTATGTTTTGCCTTCCTTCTTTCTTTTCTCTTCTTTCCCTCATCCCAGTCATTCCTTCCTTTGAGCAATTTCTTTCCCTTTCCTATCATCTATTTACTTTCATGATGACCAGTGTTTTCTTCATAAATATGCCTAAGAATTCTAGTCCTGTAGTCAACAGGAATTGTTAGTGAGCTTTGTTTTTGTTTTGTTAGATTAGTTAACTTTCATTGACTTGGCTTTCACATTTGTAAAGTAGGACTCATAATATTACCTCAAAGGATTATTTTGTACATTTAATGGGATAATCCATGCAGAATTGATCACATGGGAAATATCAATAAGAGTTAACTGCTGCATTGTTATTTGTTACTGGGTGAAATAGTTTTTCTTGCATTGGAGGCAGTGGGGTATTACACTTAGCTAACTTCATATTATCTGTCATTGTTGATCTAGTTCTTATGGAAGTTAGTTGTGTTCTTCTGTGTTTCCAGGTATTGTGCTACCCTTATATTGTCTTTCTTTTTAGTATTTCAAATCTGATCTCAACATTGTGCATTTCTTTGTCTTTGTCTTTGCCCTAGCTTGACAAAGGTTAGAATTAATGGAATATTTTGGAAGGTTCAGTACTCTAAATGGTCTTTTATGTCACCACCTCCTAAAATCTTCTTGACTAGAAAAGGCTTGTAGACAGAAAATGGACACATCACCAAGACATTGGGAAGTTTTATGAGAAAACAGTATGAAGAATGTCATGATTTTGTCCCATATAGTTTTCTTTAAAACTTCAATAAAACGATAAATGAAATAAATATCAGGATAAGAAGTCAAATGCTATATAACCTTTATTCACAATATTTACACGTGCTGCACGTAGTAGCATGTTAATACCAGATGTGAAAAATACATCTATTTTTTTCTGGCCATTTTTCTAAGTGCTAGAGATATAGCTAATGAAGGTATAGATTAAATGATTAAGGCACATTGTCTCAAAGATTTAGCTCTTCTAA